GTAGCATAAATCGACAGAACACCGGTCCCGGTCCTGTCGCGGTTTGTGCTTGGCTCTGGAGTGCAGTCCTCATCAGAGACAATAATGCTGTCACAGTGGAAGCTCTAACATGCAAAACAAGTCTAACACAAAATTCACGTTCGTGTAATGTAACTGATGGTAACGGGAAAATGTGTATCAGCCTGTTTTTAGCTTTGCCCAATGTTACCGCAGCTGTTAGCACAGCTACCTGTTGCTAACAGTTAGCTAGCCAGCTCATTACTGAATCAGTCAGTCTTTTTAAACCTATCCAATATTAACATGCTAGCTTGATAGTGAGTACTAACAACCGGGTTAGTTTTTTATCTTCATAATGATAAAGTTAAATGTTTTCTTACCCTTGATGTGAGCTGCTGCATCGCGCTGCTCTCCACTCGTCACACTGTGCTCGTCCTCCGGCAGAGTTGGCAACGTGCGTTCCCGTGTTTTGGGGGCGTGGCTTTGAAAGGAGCCCAGAAGGGAGGGGGTGGGAGTTTCTCTATTGGATACTTTCAAAAATCCAGCTTTTCTTGCTAGTTTCTCTTACCTACCCTGCCTTTAAGTGTCACAGTTGGGGATTGGACCCGGGTCTCTCACACCAAAGGCATGTGTCTTATCCACCACTAAACGGCAAAATTTTGAAATATCGAGCCCCAGTGCCACACCCAAGCCTAAGACCCTTATCAGATAATAATTCGGCTGAAGTAGTCATGTATATATTTAAGCAAATCATTTGGTAACTTCATGATGCGCTGATGATGAACCGGACCAGAGCTAAAATGCAAAAATTATTTATTTTTTTCTCTTGGTCCGGACCAGATGGACCGGACTTCAACCTGTCTGCTGTGTGAAATGTGTGAACACCCACTATATAAGGACCAACTGCACCTCAGTGTTTTCATCTAACAACTTGGATACTTTTACAGTGTATTTTCTATTCATGAAAGTTGATTGTAACATTTTGGTCACCTAAAAATGTCTGGTTCAGTGTTCGGCTGTCCTAAAAGACACTAAGGAGTCAGCTGGTTATTCTTTCCTGTAAGTTCTTTTAGTTTTAATCTTGTTTCCCACTAGCCAAATTTAACATCCTAATTAAAATCACAGCTAACGTGAATTACTGATGCACCATACTAACAAACTTGCTAGTTCCACCTTCTCGTCCAAATACGGTCACTTCTGGCTCCAAAAAAGCAAGATGGCGACAGCCAAAATGCCAAACTATGGGCTTCACAATGGTAGTCCACAACCCAGTGGGTGGTGTCACGGTCGCTACGGCCTCTACATTGATACAGTCTATGGTGCTAACAGAGGGGGATCATGACTGACACAACCATGTGTGCAGTATTTCCTGGTGATGGGGCAGTGGATAAGACACATGCCTATGGTGTGAGAGACCTGGGTCCAATTCCCCACTGTGACACGAACACCAATGTGTTCCTGAGCAAGACACCTAACCACTGGTTGCTCCAGAGGCATGCAATGTCTGACATATATAGTAATTGCAAGTCGCTTTGGATAAAAGCATCAGCTAAATGAATAAATGTATGTAATGTATGTATGCAGTTTGAAAGAACTGTTGCCATTTCCTGTAAATGGTAGAAGGAGGGGAGAGTAGCAGTTGAAGAGTGTTATTGGAGGGAATAAGCCACATACTGACTAGTTCTGACCAACCGGCAACCTCCGGGTCCAATTGGGTTTTCTTTTTTAGTCTTTTTATTTGTGTATAAAATATTGAACTACTGTTTTACTGATCTTTCATGTATACAAAATATACAACACTGTGAAAAAATCGAGTCCATCCTCATCTCCTCTATCACCACCTGGTACACTGCTGCCACCGCCAGGGACAAGGGCAGGCTGCAGCGTCTCATTCTGTCAGCAGAGAAGGTGATTGGTTGCCACCTTCCGTCTCTCCAGGACCTGTTCGCCTCCAGGACTCTGATGCGTGTAGGAAAGATTGTGGCTGACCGCTCCCACCCTGGACACAAACTGTTTCAGACACTCATACGGGAGGCTGCAGTCCATCAGGACCAAAGCCTCATGCCACAAGAATACTTTCTTTCCGACTGCAGTGGGCCTCCTCAACAAGGCCTGGGTCCCCACTGTCACTGACTCTAATGCCCCCCCCCAACACACCGTGTCCACTGCACTAATTACTTTATGCTTACTGTGAATTTTTGCACATTGCTTATTAATATCCTGTATATTTTTTGCATTCTTTTTTCCCCATTAGTATTATTGTATTATTTTATATACGTGAAAATATGTGAAAATGTACCTGGCATTTTCTGATTCTGAAGTAAATGATTGATACGTGACTTGACATTTGTAAATGTTAGAAAGCAGTGTATTAAATATGTTAAATGAACATATTAAATCACTGTTAATCAACCTGCATAAAGATGTACACCCTGAAAACACAACCAATGTATCTAAATTGGGACCCATTTTAATCATGCTCTTTCATTTTTGTTTCAAGGGGAGGTAGTGAAAGAACTGCTGCTCTTTCTTATAAATGGTGAGGGAGTCACTTCACAGGGCTGAACAGGCCGACTATTTTGAAAGTAGAAGCAAAACCTGACAAACAAGATTTTCTTACTTTATGCAGCCTTGTGCTGTATAATGACAAATAACCAACCTTATACCTTGAACCTTGTACCCTGTATGTGATCATCAGGAAAAACATTTTTTAACATATAACTGGGACGTAATTATCAAGACTGTATGCATAGTTAATAATTAACTATCAACAGTAAAGATATTCAACCATAGGTCATGAAGGCGTTCTTGAGAAAGGTTAATGCTTGATCACTTCCAATACAATATCTTGATAAATGAATGTAGAACAACTGGTTGTCATGGTGATTATGGTGGGGAATTTTTCAGATCAAGAGTCTCTTGTTCTCTCAAGATATATTGATTCACAATGTTTAAAGAATGTATATTGTGTTTTGAAGATACTCATGTTTTTTCCTGCATAGAGAATTATGAGGCAGAAGAAAAAACAAAACAAAATAATAAATAAAAGTGAGAGGCAGTCTTACTTAAAGGTCCAGTGTGTAATATTTAGGAGGAATGCTCAGTGTCTGATTTTACATAGAACTACCGTTTTTCTCCCAATAACATTATTAAATAATTTTTAAACAGTACAATTGGACGGATGAGCAGAGCAGAGAGAAAAGTGTCAAGTTAAACACACACACGCCCAATTCGATGATCAGTCGACTACAGGCAAGACGTGACAATTCTGATTCGACAATGTAAATCCTTAGTCAGGGACACCCCTAAAAACAGTAGGCTATGCTTGACATCTAAAAATAGCTTGAGTGCTGCAGTCAATCTAGCATGCAGGGACTCATGCTGTTTAGAGGGGGAGAATGTAGCCTGTTGGTCTCCAGCAGTCATTGTGGGTAATCAGGACAATCAGACAGATGAGAAATCCTTAGAACAGCTACTTTAAGTTTTATAGTCCGTTGGTACCTCCTAGTGGCTCTGTAGGGAGTGTGCTTGAAACCACCTGTTGCAGAGTTCCTGTTTATTTTCCGGTAGAGACACATGCGACACAAGCACGTTAGTGGCCTTAGCACACAGCCTCGTGTAGGAAGTTCACCAAAGCTAACTACGTGGTTAAAATTTAGTTAGTTAGTGAAGATAACGAAACAGAGATTCTTCTCAAGCTGCTGAACCGGTCCAAACCGGTGTGTTAATGGAGTATTCCGGTTGTTGTTGTTTTTTTTGTGAGACTGTACAATAGACTTGAACTGAGCGGACTGACCAAATAAGTTGGTGTGTGTTTCATTAAGCGGGGAGTTAAATGGTATCATTGGGTGCTTTGCCGATACCCTGTGTAATTAGCCTCCTCAAAGAACCTAGATATCTTCTGATATACCTAGGGGATATTAGCACCCTGCAGGTTACGTAAGCCTGATCGTCAGACAAACCGACGATAATGTGCTTCATTACCTGTTGTAATCAGCTGGTTCATTTGTTTTGAAGAGGAGGAGAACTACCTCTGCTCCTTGTAAAACTTAAAACAACTCTGGACGCAGTATTTAGACTAACTACATCAGCTGTTAGACACACAGCAGGACTAGTTGCACACTGGCTGCTATTTCAGTGCTATAAATACAATGCTGACGTACGATCTCAGGCCTACATCAGCAAGACTTCTGTGTGCTGTCAGGGTGTTTGTTTTTTGTTTGAGTCAATGGTGGAAAAGAGATGAGCAGTAGCAGCAAAACTCAACTTAGACCAATCAGAAATGCACTGCAAAGGGGCGCTTGGAAAGGGAGGGGTGAGTGTTTGATCAGCCATAGGTTGCAAATCGCAAACCTCACCACTAGATGCCACTAAAACTTATATCCTACACTGAACCTTTAAAATACAATCCTTTTTTTAAAATTAACTTTTAAATGCTTCAAAAACATGAGGAAACCAACATTTCTGTAAATAATATTCTGCCAGCAACATCAAATAGTTTTACAAGACATTCAGTATATCAGTAGGTATTTGATGTTCTCGTCTCAAACAGAGCTTAACCATGTTGTGTGACATGCTTCAGCAAAAACAAATACTAATGGGATAGAAAGTTGCAGATGCTTAAGTCATATTTAAACGTCTTGCTGTTTGTTAACTGTGTAAATGAACACATTAGCTTTTATGTTGAATTTGATTTCATGTTGAACAGCGTGCCTTTATTTTTATTATAAACTATGCTTTAACATGATGATTGTCATCTTGTCATCTTCAATCACATCATTATTAGAACTCTTAAAAAAGTGGTTGTTTGAGTCCATTGAATGCATGGTAATACACATGCACGTGTGTGCCAGTGATCTGGCTGGTAACACCTCCATCTCATTTTGCAGCAGGAAAAACCCTGATATTCCCATCTATATAATAATGAAACTGAAACTTCCACATGGAGCTTCAGTTTCACTTTTATTGTGTAAACAGTGCAGCTAGATGTGGGTGTGGTTTGGGCCATTTTAAAGAGGGCTGCAGCAGCCAGTCTGAACTCAGTGTCTTCACTTCATCTGCGATACTTCGTAATCTTCAACTCAAACATGACCAGCAACTATTACAACATGAGCAGCAACTTAGGTATGTTATGATACTGTATCTTATGTATGGATGTTTTAAAGTTTAATTATTTGATGGTGATATTGAAGTGATCACAGCTAACTGTGATTCCACCGGCGTCACCAGGTCATTTTCCCGGGGCTTTATCCCTGAATGTTTTGACTAAAGCACCGAATAGCTCAGAAACATCAAAAAATAATAATAAATCCGTGTTAATATGAAATAATCCTCATGAGGCAGCCTGTCTTGCAGGAGGCTACTGCTATAATATTGCTACATTATGTATGAAGTTCACGTAACGTGACCACAGGATCAGGATGCTTTCCTCTGAAGCAGCTGTGAGCCATACGCGTATAGGAACCATTGTACATGAGGGGGACATGTCCCCCCCACATTTCAAAATCTGTGTTTTGTCCCCCTCACTTTTTTTTTTGGCGATTTTGGAGTTGGCTCATAGCCAGGCGCTTTGAGTGACTAATCAATCAATCACACACTCCGCATCAGACATGATTAACAAAAATCATGTAGACCTAAAGAAAACATGTTTCAAAAGGCAAATGCGGTGCTGAAAAGTTATGGGAGAAAAAAAGAGTTTGCTCAAGGCAGGTGCGGCAAAGTGCCTCAATATTACATTTCTTTTGTGCTGTTCTTTTTGTACCTGAAGACAGCAGTGAGGACGCCTGCTGCAGGGTGGGTAGTGACGTGTTACAAGTAACATAATTTTGCAAAATAAATAAAATAAAAGAAGTAGCCTAATTGACACCTTTTAACGTTCCTTTTTGAAACTGCAGCCTACTTTTACTCTTTACTCCAGTATTTTCTGTGGGCCAGTAATCTACTTTTAATTCGCTTCATTTTCCTTTCACACCTTCATAATTTAACCAGTCTGTAATCTGCAATAGGCTTCTTTAACCGAATGAGCTGTCTGCAGGCTGTGGGGGCGCAGTTACGCAGAAGAGCGCAGGTCTCCTCTTTGGTACAGAGACGGCGCTTATATATACACAGATATGAAGATCGAATTATAAATCAGGCAAATACCTTTTCAGTTAAAGGCTTTATTGTTCAACTGAAAACTGAAATCCAGTGAGCGCTCACTGTAGCTCTCTTCGCGACAACACAGACACAGGTCAGTTCTTTGCAACGGGCGTTTATTGCTGTGGGCACATCGGGTCTCTTTGGTACATCCAGCTTCACACCATGTACGCCTTGAACGTCGTATATGCCTTATACGCCGTGAGAACTACATTGTAAGTGAACACAGTACAAATAAATCAATACATTATAGCTTAGCAGAGAAAATACAAACAACATCCAGATCAATAAAAACAATATAATAATACCTCGTTGGCCGCTTGTCGTGAAAAGAGGTTACTAAGTTCTTTGAAGTCTCTTGAATGTCCATTTGGTCGTCTGCATTAACTTCAAACCACATTTTTAACTTTAATGCAGTTTAACAAGCATCGGAGCTATCTGCTCCGCCGGAATTCAAGGCAGTGAGTGTCGACTTAAACCGTTGTAGCGGTAACACAGACAGAAAACATTAGTTCCGGGACAAACGTAAATATACAGAATGAGATAGATACACTGTTAACCACATATCATTTAGCAGCTTATTCTACCCTTTAGTTCTTAAACATGAATTACATTTTATCTTTACACCAAATTAAGTTATATTTGTTACATGAAATTATAACAGCAATTATGAACTGTGCATCATGAAAACACAAGTATTTATGCAACAACACTTACACTCCCACCAAATCCCTAATTAACTTGAAATGTAGGATTTCTATACGTGGAAGGTCAATTAAAGGTGTTGTAAGACTGAATGAATGTAATCTTGTGTATGTGACTCAGTTAGATTCAAGTAAGGTAACTACTTTGTGAATGGGCCTTTCGAGGTAGATTCTTTTAGTTAGTGGCTGTCCTTTATCAGTAGTGTCTCCGACTAGTAGCTTCAACTTCCGCACCATACTGTCTGCACTAGGGTGAACTTCTACGACCCTGGCAAGCTTCCATTCGTTTCTTGGAGAGCTGTCATCTTGTAGAATCACAATGTCATCCACTTGTGAATTCCGTGTTGTTCTTTGCCATTTCTGTCGTTGTTGAAGGTTTAGCAAGTATTCCCGCTTCCATCTTTGCCAGAATTCATCAGCTAAGAACTGCACTCTTCTCCAACGTTTGCGCAAATAGAGATCTTCTTTGCAAAACTGCCCGGGAGGGGGCAGAATAACTGATGATTTCATCGTTAGAATATGGTTGGGTGTGAGAGGTTCTGGTCCATTGGGATCATGAAGATGTTCAACACTTAACGGTCTGCTGTTGATTATAGCCATTGTTTCGTAGAGAAACGTTCTCAGCGATGTGGTGTCAAGTCTGCTTGCGGATTTGTCGAGCATAACGGTTAAGATGCTTCGGATTAGGGCTGGGCGATATGGCCTAAAATAAAATCTCTGATTTTATTTTTTTTAATTCAATTTACGATTTTTTCCGATTTCCCCCCCTACTTAAGGAAAGCAATAAGGTTTGTTGGTCAGTGCGGCTTTGTTCATCGCGGAGAGACTGGCATTTTTCATATTCGGCTGGATGTCTCTGTTTCAGGTGTTGGAATAGGTTTGTGGTGCTGCTGCCTTTCACTGCGATAGGCTTTATGCAAATGTTGCAGCGTGGTGTCTGTTGTTCCACATCTGTCGCAGCAAACCCATACCAGTTCCAAACAACAGATGACTTTATTCCTTTCTTGGGAACAAACTTCCCGCTCTCACCGGTAGCCATTTTGTCGCTTGCTGTTGCTGTTTAGTGTATGATGTTGTCGCTATGGGAAACGAACACTACGGAAACCCCGGGGAGCCAAAAATGTGCTATTACACAAAAACTCGATTTACTTATTTTTTAAATCATCCGCAACAAAAAATTCGAATTAATTCATTCAATCGATTTTTCGCCCAGGCCTACTTCGGATAGTTCGAATTTGACGCTCCCAAACTCCACCCATATGACTTGCTGATGGGACGTTCGTTACAAATTCGCAACCGAATGCTCGTTGACGTTCTTGGTCAATTCCTTTAAGCAATTCAGAAAACAGTCTCCTGGCACCCATGAAATTTGTTCCCTGATCGCATCTCAATTGACGCACAGGTCCTCTAATAGCTACAAATGTTCGAAGCGCGTTCATGAAAGCGTCTGTTGTTAAGTCGTCTAGTGTTTCTATATGTACTGCTCTGGAGCATAAGCAAGTAAACAACAATCCATAGCGTTTCAACTCTTTCCTTCCTTCCTTTACGATGAAGGGGCCAAAGCAATCGAGTCCGCAATAGGTAAAAGGAGGGGACATTTCTGTTCTCTCTTCCGGGAGATCTGCCATTTTTTGGACTTCTGTGGCTCTTCTGTATCTCCTGCAAGTTACGCATTTATAAATGTGTGAGGAGACAGCACTTCCGCAACCAAGAATCCATATTCCATTTGCGCGCAGCTCGTTCATGGTCATGCCTCTTCCTTGGTGATGTACACGCTCGTGATAGTGTTTGACTAGAAGGGCTGACACATGAGATTTCTTCGGAAGTATTGCCGGATGTTTTACGTCATGGTGTAAGGCTGATCGAGATAATCGTCCTCCCACTCTGAGAACATTGTCCTTATCCAAGAAGGCATTCAGCTGGCGTAACTTGTTACGCTTGTTCAGGGTGTTTTCTTTCTGGAGCTTGATTTTCTGAATGTCTTCAGCAAAAGCTTCTTCTTGCACCAGCTTGATAATAAAGATTTCGGCTTCTCTTCTTTCTTCAAGGCTAGTTGCTTCCTTTGTTCTTGGCTGATGTCCTTTGAATTCTCTGATGAATCTCTTTAGCCTAGCAGCCGCTCTCACTGCTCTGGACCAGTCCGAAAACTTTGTAAAGCGCTTCACCAGTGAATTCACCTCTTTCATCTTGACTGCATGAACATGGGCTTTGCGAAGCTCAGGATCGGTCATTTCAACTTCTCCCACCATTTCCTCTTTACATGGAAGATTCTGCTGCCAAAGAAAGTCAGGTCCTTTCAGCCAGTTCGACTCCTTCAACTGAACCGAAGTCAGTCCTCTTGAGGCATGGTCGGCTGGATTATTTCCAGAGCTGACATGTCGCCATTGTTCAGGATTCGTGCTAGCTCTTATACGTTGGATCCGATTGGCTACGAATGTGTGGAACCTCTTTGCATCATTGTTCACATAGCCAAGAACCACCTTCGAATCAGTCCAGTAATACTCTTCTAAGTTCTCAATCTCAAGCTCCCTTTTTACAACATCGCCGTTGCGCACTGAAGTCACAGCTGATGACAATTCAAGTCTCGGGATGGTCGTTAGCTTGGTAGGGGCTACTCTTGCCTTCCCCATGACAAGTGAACAACTGATCTGTCCTGTTTCACTTATTGCTCGGAGATAAGAACATGCACCGTATCCATTGAGACTTGCATCTGAAAAGTTGTGTAACTCATAACGCATGACTGAGTCAAAATGTGATGGAAGGTAACTTCTTGGAACATTCAGTGCTGCCAGGTGTGGCAAATCCTTAAGCCATAACTCCCATCTTGGCAGAATGTGTTCGGGAAGATCTTCATCCCAGCCTACCTTTTCTCTACATAGCTCTTGCAGGATCTGTTTGCCGACTAATATAAAGGGGGCTACAAACCCTAACGGATCGTAGACAGAGGCGACTGTAGAGAGAACTCCTCTTCTTGTCAGTGGGCTCTCTTTAACCACGACTCTGAATTTGAATTCATCAGTTTCGATGCACCACTGAACTCCAAGTGCTCGCTCGATGTGAAATTCTCCTAAGGCCATATCTTGATCTTTGGTCTGTGCACGTTCTTCTGGTGGTATTGCGGCGGTTACTTCCTTTTCATTGGACACAAACTTGTGCAGCCGAAGATTTCCTGTTCTGCACAAGGCTCTAGACTCTTCCACCAGATGAATGGCTTCATCGATTGTTTTTACGCTTATTAAGCCATCGTCAACATAGAAGCTTCTTTGGATGAACTTGATGGACTCC